CAAAAGTTTTAGATAACCAAGTAACAAGGAGAGAGTAGATAATTTGCCCTGATCATCTTGGGAGTTCATGAGGCGAGGAAGAGATGTGGCAAGGGAATGCAGACTTTCAGACAAGATGTCGGTAAAAGCTCTGTTGCCCACCACTACTTTCTGATCTGCAAAGTGTCTCAGAACATTATTGCACTGGGCTTTGACTTCTGGACTCTCATCATTTACGAGGCCTACTAAAGCCTTCAGGAGGGGACCAGCAGAATCAACCAGTGACTGATTGCACTTCAACAGAAGGTTCTCCACAACGTCTACCAGCTCTAGCCTCACCTTCCAGTGTGGGTGAACCAAAATACACTCAATTATCTTTTTAATAAGGATCACCAGCTTGTCCCCAGTATTTTTTACCCATTCTCCTTCCCTATGAACCATCAGCTCTGCAATTCTATGCTCAACTGCAGGCTTTGCTTGAACCTTTGAGATTCTTTTGAGCTGTTCATCAGCCATAACAAAGCCTACTGTCTTGTAAAAGATCCTCAGGGAATATACTACAATGCTGTGACCCTGTTTAAAGTCTCCTGTAATAACCCTGGTCAGTGCAGTTGAGATTCCAGGTAAAAAAGAAGCAAACAAATCCCCCAGCTGCTGTTGCTCAAACTCATCCAAAGACCTGGAATGATCTTGACAATCGCACTGAAAGAGCAGAACCTGTAAACATTTTAAGGCAGCAATTTTAATTTGCTTTGATTTCTCCTGTTCTGCCACGCCTAACAGTAGAGATACAGCAAATCCTAAACGAGGCAGAATGGAGGGCTCATAAAAGGCCAGAATGATGTCGCCATAAGCTGAGTGCATTAAGGTGTTAAGTCCCTGGATCACAGCCAATTTCAATTCCTCTGACACAGAAGCAGGTTTCTGGGAGTTGGGTGAATACAAACATGCAGAGAGTTCTGAAAAGAGTTCCTGAAGAAGCTCTTGCTCTTTCACACATGTTGAAGAGAGGACAAATGTGAGGCAGTCCACCACACTCTGGACCAAGCGCTCTCGTTTGGGACCTGGGGTTTTTAAGGTAAATCGTAAGGGGAAGAGGATGTACTGCTGAAGTTCCTGAAGAGCAGTATCACTCACAGCTCGTAACCGTGCCTGTAGCTGTTCCACATTCTCCACTGTCTGGGTCTTTGTGAGCTGAACACAGACTGGACGCAGGATGCCAAAGGCTTCCTGAGGAGTATCAAACACTGCCATTCTGCAATAGCTTTCTTCTCACATCTCAGGAAACATCCTGCAAGCTGAAGGAGAAACTTTTCAGTACAGAGGATAAGCCTCAAAACAAATACAAAGTAAACTTTCATCATTTATTCAATAGACATTTATGGGGGTCATGTGCTGGCCACTGCCCAAGGTCTTAGGAGAGGGAAGAAACCAAAGACATTGTTTCTGTCCCTCAGGACCTCCAGTCCAATGATGGAAGTGAATTTAGAGTTAGAAAATGGCCTCCAAATAATAAGAATAGGCCCAACTGCTTGTCATGACATGCCAGTTGCTGCTATGCTGTCTCTCGGGTAGAGGATTGTTCAAAAAGAAGGGGGTGGTGAATGAAGGCAAGAGATAGGAAAAGGAATATTGTGGGACTGTCCTGCTTCAAGGTTGCATATGGTTAGATTTTTGGACTTA